AGATCGTAATCGTGAAATACGGATTCAAACAGTATTAAATGACCGTAACATTAGATCAACTATAGAGTTTCTTCGGGCATTGCCCATAATATTTCATTTTAAAAATTTTTTTTGTTATTTTTTTTTTGTGTATAAAAATAATAATAATAATTAATGTGTCACAAAAGTTTTTTGTAAATGATTGATAAATAAACAATTTCGTCAGACAAAAAAAAAAAAAAACATTACACATGTATCTATATGAACTGGTTTTTGATACCAAGTAAGGATAATAAGTTGTGTTATTAGTTAATTAACGGTTGATTTAACTTGTCTGTAAAAAACCAAACTTTTAACTAGTTATCCAGGTCTTCACACAGTCCTTGGCAAATTGTTAACACAATGCTTGCCGGTAAAGTGTCCTGTCAGTAAAGTCTCTTGTCGGTAAAGTGTCTTGTCGGTAAAGTGGGTGTCAGTAAAGTGTCCGGGTCCCTAAACGGAAAAAACACTGGATTTAATAACGGAAAACACCGAGATTACAGGATACGTTTAGAAGAGACTTGGACAATCTTTAATTAACATTAAAACAATAGTAAGGCTACTTTTTAGATAAATAATTTTATTTGAAGAATTATTAGCGTGAAATCATTATTTAGAAATGTATGGATTAATGTTTCTTAGAAATCCGAATTAATTAATATTAATATAGTAATAGATAATGTGGATTTATTTTTTAAGTTTGGGAAAATTATAAACTTATATTAGTATTATTAGTATTAGTATATTAATATTAATATTAATATCATAATCACGCGAATCTATCCGTTATAATTCCGCTGAGAATAATTAATAAAAACAATGGGTTGGTCACAAAAAAAATTAAATCGAAAAATAGATTCATACCATTTATATTTCCTTTTCCATATTATCTGAATTGTTGGATCATCCCAAAAATGCAACTGTTTTTATACAAAGAAAATAACGACTATTGGGCGTACACATAACTAAAATAATTTAGCCAAATGTCTCACGCGCTCAGCCTGGTAAATAAAATCACATTAGAAACCTCTTTTTTATGATTAAATCAAGATCGTGCGATGCAGAGAAATCGATTTTTTAATATATTAGTAGGTTATTATGACCATCGGTCAAATTTTGTAACACATTACATTTTCTAATAATAATAATAGAAATTTTTAGTATTAGGTATTTACTATAACATTCATTATCTATTCAATGGTGCTTGCAGAGCTTCGCGAACATAAATTGCATTAGAATGCATTTATTTTGCTTCTCCAATATCAAATTGTTAGAGCAAATTTTTTGTACTTTGGATGGTATTACAATAGTTTTACCGTAACAAAATTATTTAAAATTAAATGTCACCATAAATAAACGAACTTAAACCAATCAATTGACAATGATAAGAAAATAAGAGTTAAAGTAGAGTCAAACAAACAAACGGATCTAGATAAATAACTCCTGTTTCTTACTTTCTCCGCATTTTATTCTAACGAATTTTTAATCTAATAAAATAATTTTTTTTTAACCTTTCAATATTTTAAATAATATTTATTGTCTTTCCTCCTTATATTATTGTTATTATTGTTGTTATTTTATTAGGATATATATAATGTCGGATCCAGATGCCACAGAAACTGCTGGATATTCGATAACTGATGAACAAGGGAAGGTAGTTCTTCTGCTATTCTTAATCGGTGGCATAATATCACTGATAGCAGCTACATTTGGGATTTTGGTGTTTTTTTATATAAGATATAAATATCCCCGATTAGCTGACAGAGTTACGTTTCGACTTGCATTGGTTACAATGATATCAGACTTTTGTGTTTCTGGATCTATGATACTCGGTTCAACCTTTGCATTTCCCGGCCCAGTATGTACAGCCACTACCTGGGGGTTGGTCTTTTTTAGTCTTTTATCAATTTTTTTGCCTACTTGTATTGCCATGGTATGTATATCTTTTATTAGTCAATCAATTAACTACTTTATTTAAAATATTAATTGGATATTGTGATCGTGTGAATTAAACAGAATCTACAAATCGTTTTCATTCATGGGTACAGGGGTAGATGTAAATTAGAAATGTTTTATTTCATAGGTTCATTCTCTTTAGCTTCAATTCTATCATTAATTCCATTCTCTGAGAACATGTATGGTTGGGATGTGCCCGAAGGGTAAGTTTTTACATCCAATCATTAATTTACTACGACATCATCATTAATTATATAATCTTTACTTCATAATAATAATAATAGTTTGTGCTTTTTCCGTGACTCGGGTACAAAAACGAGTATTACATGGCAATGGGCATCATTCTACGCTTGGGAATTACTTTGCATATTATATTGTACAATAACATTAATTTGTGTTGCGGTGAAATTATACAAAGTGTCAAGTCAATCAGTAAATACTAATATTAGTGGTCAAACAGTGTCAAGTCGATATGAAAAGAATATTTTAAGGAACAAGGCTATCATATCATTAGTGGTCAAAAGGGTTATATGGTATCCTGTTGTGCCTATAATAACTCAGGCACCAAATTTTTTGGTTGAAACTGACATTTATGTTAACCAGAAAATCAACTTTGTATTTTTAGTGTTGGCTACTTTCATCACATTTCAAGGTAACTAATAATAAAATTATGCCACATGATTTAGCAATTTTTTTATTAAATATTAATAATTTTTTTCTTTAGGTTTTCTCAATACCATAGTATTTATGCAAGATCTCGCGGTTTCTAGAGCTTATAGATTAACGAAATTAAGTTGGTGGTATAATCACGTTAATAATTATGAAGAGTTATATCCTCATTTATCACGTAATAAAGCATTTGATCAATTGGATCTGACTAATGAGAATGAAGTAAAAAATGGACTGCAGAAACAACCTTCTTTTGTCGAAAATTTACGATATGATTTGTTAACCTTATTATTTAGTAAACCAAAGGGAGACAAAATGTTGATTGAATATGATCAATTTATGACGATAAGAGATGATGAAGAATTGTTAACACCACCAATAAATGATAAAATTGATGATGGTGCAATAACAAAGGATGATGATAGTACTCTCAATAAGTTTAATAAAAATGTATTATGCAAACTGTAAGATATTAAGTAATTTTATTTAAAAATAATAAATAAATATTTTATGATTTTTTTTCTCACTTTTTTATAAAAGTGAACTGATTGTCCTGGTTGTGTAAATGATTGATCTAATATTTATTTTGGGATCCTACCACCATTCTGAGTTACTGGAATAAAGGGACCCGTGAATACGTTGTCAGGAACCAAAATGGATAAATAATTGGTAATTTTGCTTTAAATATAAGCATCCCTTATTTTTTGCACTTATTATACAAGTGTAAATCCTGCCTTATTGAAAATCATTCTGATATTTTTAACTCTGATAATGTTCTTTATCAAGGTTGAAGTAATATTGTTCATACATATTTTACTCGCTTTTCTATTTATTTAGTTATGTCTAAATTTAAATCATTACATTGTCTCCTTTATGCTTTGGGTGTAAAGAAAGGTATTGTGTCTATAGAATTAAAATTGCATTATATCATGAATTTAATAATGATGCACTAATTGATGAAATTATTGAAGTAATTTTATATTATTTTACATTTTTTTATAGTGGGAAAATTCTGAAGCAACAAAGACCGTAATTGTTAGTTTTGGCCAGATGATAATCTTACTTAGAAAATATTACCCGAGAAGCTTTTCAGAAAGACAGAGGCTTGTCTAAAGGATCCAATAACGCATTTACGTGGGCTGTAATCAATGCCTTTTTTGGGTTTCTGGTCGAAATTACCCTCTCTTAATAGCTGAAATTGCCAGAACACTTTGGCAAAATTATCTTTTCTCGAAAATACAATCTTTTAAATAAATAAAAAATCATTCAAATTGAGTCATTTGTTGTTAAGTTATAAATTTTTAAAGTTTGCCAGTAGAAACAAATGGAAAATTCAAAACGTGAATACCAAAGATACTACATTTTTGTTAGCTGGA